GCTCTGTTCCAGTCCAAGTTTTTGCAATGTTTGTATCATCTTTATTGAAGAAAGAAGCATAGGTGATGTAGGAGGAAAAGGTAAACCTTTGCTGACCTCCCAGTCATTACTGCATATAAGGTCATGTCCTCCTCTAACTTTCCTTAGAAAGAAATGAAAGGAAAACAAAATAGAATTTTAATACAAAAATGTCTTAGACTGTACAAGAATTGTGAAAAAAATCCATATTGCCCTGTCAGCTAAAGAGGGGGGAAAAGGGGCAAACTGGCTCCTAAAAAATATTTTTTTAAATAAGAACAACAACACTGCATTGTTATCCTTCTCTTTCTTTATATATGTTTAGTTCAGTCTGTTCTTTGGTTTTTGCCTAAAGTATTATTAGTTTAGAAAAAAAGATATATGTTTGGCAGCATTTGTTTAATATATTGAAAAAAACGTAGTTTTTAAAAATCCTGTTTGGCACTAGTGAGATGATTGTTTTGGTAAGCCTATTGCTGTGTGTACGTATAATTCACTGCTGCTGTTTTGTTTGGTTTTCCTCTGTTGCATTTAGGTTATCTGGTTTCAGATACAATCTATTAAGTGGCCTATTTTTCAGTAGCTGAGGTTTTCCCACCTGTCTCCCCTAAAACACCTGCAACATCTGTTTGTGTAACCCTGCAATGCTTTGTGGTTTGGGCCTTGAGAAATTCCCCCAGAGCTTTTTGCTTATAAACAGCTGAGCAATTCGTTTCTCTAATGACGAGTGCTTTTCCCTTGGCATTGAGGCAATAGCATGTTCGCTAAATAAGTCTCATTTTTCGTCAGACATATTGAAAATCTTTTTTTATTGTTGTGTCTTATTCTGTGCCTTCAGATTTTGCACAAACTTGTATTTGTTTGAGTTTTTTTCATGTCAATAATACTAAAGAGGGAGGAAAGGAAATACCTCGACAAAGAAGAAAAAAGTGTTGTGGAGATTCTTCTGCTTGCACCTGCGTGTAAACTTTTACAAATTATGTGTATTCAGGTGGTGAAACGTTACAATGCAGCAGTAACCTGGTTTTCCTGGGACGTTATAGAACAGTCTGCCTGTGATTTCTGTCACGCACAAGCGTGCTTTGCTATATCGTATCTGCTCCATGGGTGATGTGACGCGATTTGTCTCAGGAGGCCAGGGAAGACGAGGGTTGTACTAGGGAACGTGAGCATATGGAGCACGATCCTTGGCTGGTGGGAATTGCTTTTCAGCACGTCATGCAAGTTTAGGGAATCTCTGCTGCGTTCAGTGTGATTCTGGCCATGGCCTCAGCCCCCCCCCCATAAGAAAAGAGCGGGCGTGGGTATACCTTACCTCGGCCATGTGTACCTGGAGGAGAATAAAGCCAAACAGAAAGTCCCCCAAAACTTCCTGCCAGCCGTGGGAACGGGAGTGAGTCTGTCTGGTGGTGGCTGGGAACAGAAGCAGGAGGACGGGGATTAGGACTTCAGCAGGCAATTTCGGGGGGCGGGGAAGCATCTTTTAGGGAAGGATGGCTTCGAGACAGGAGTACCTTCAAGATACCTGAAATATTTTAAGGCATCTCTTACCTTTGGGCTGTGACTAATACATTTTGAAGAGACAAAGTCCAAAATCACATCAATTGCTATGTGTGCTTCTAAATCTGAATGTCATCTATTGTCCTTTTAAAAGTATAAATTGGGCATTTTTGACCAGTTGAAACTAAGCTCGCTCTAGCTAGAAATTAAGATTAGAAGAATTGTAAAACCAGCAGACTGCTCCTACAAAATGGGTGTGGGTAGAGGGATTTCTAGTATTGGAACAGACAGCTTTTCTCTCTGATTTCTGTGCTCTCTTTCTTTAGAAGGGGAAAGACATAAATGTGTTAATCTGTATAATGCCCTTACACAATTTCTTAGGGGAATTCAACAAACTACAAATTTGAAGGGTTGGTTTCACTGTCGTTTTGACATGATCTTTTTAAGAAAAAAATATTTTATCTGAGGTACTAGTTAAAATACTTACATAAATTGAAAAAGAAAAGGGAAAACTTTACTTGCTTAAAAATACAAATAGGATCATTCCAAATTGCGCTGTGTAGGAAAAAAATGTGGTTACTGTGAATATTTGAAACAACAGAGCTATGTTGTGCTGAAAATAAATTTGTTTAGTTTTCTGTCATAATACATGGAATATAATATAGGGGACAGCTCAAACTGGATGCTTAGAAAGGGGAATTAATTTAACATTCATAAGGGAGAAACATTGTAATTGTGTAGGTTTTCCTTTCTGCTTCTTATGTTTAACTTACTGCAATGGTTAAAAAGAATATAAAATTTAAAGGACTATCACAGTGACGTAAAGATCATAATCTTCATAAAACTGTATTTTTTGCTGTCTGCATTTTAGTTTTCAGAAGTGTTTAAATTTCTGTGGTGATACTTCACCAATACTCGTCTGCTAACATACACGTCAGGTTGGTTTTTTTGTAATAATGAAATTTTCCAAAAGGATATCTCTGTAGCGTTACAAAAGGCATTGCAGCAGTAACCCTTGGTATTTATTGTCTTGCATTTCTAATGTTTTTTCAACAGCATTTTTTCTGAGGGCTTTTTTTTCACTGCATGTAATAGTACTTTAAACTGCTTCTTCCTTTGATACCTTTAAACCTCATAGGAATTTAAATAGGCCTCTGTGAAAGTAGTGCTTGAGCCTCATTCATATGTTCGAGTTAGATCATTATTCCTATTAATGGCTTTAAGTGCTTAGATAGTAGATCAGTCTTTCGTGTCTTCAGTTGCTTGTCATTTCTGCATAAATATGTTTCAAGACACTGTTCCACATGATCTTTTCCTGTTTTTTTTCTTTAATTCAAAAGCAATGTGTAGTAATCTTTTTTTATTATTATTTATTGGGTGGTGGAAAAGAAATTTCAGTGGTTTTGCTAAATTTAAATATATACTGAGTTACTGAAAACAAATTGCAAAACTGGCTAGCATCTGATAATGTGAATTTTTCAAAGGGCTGTCTGATGACTTAGAAGTGCCCATTATTTTAACCATCTCTTACTCTTTCACCTTGTTGAAATGGTCATCAAGACATGTAAAAAAAAAGTTATTTAATTCATGGGAGAAAAGTTACACTTTGATTACTCACATAGTAGTCGCAGAACCATCAGTTATCCTCATCACGTCAGTTTGGATTTGATTATCATAGAAATGCATTGAATTACCAAACTAGAGCAATAGTAACTAAAGCTGATTCATTGTTATTGCTGTCAGTTGATGAGGACTGACTTACAAGCCATATGAATGGGTTGAGTTATGCAAATATTGTTTTTATAACAGGAGAAGAAAAACGTAGAGCAGCCATTACAATGTGGATGGTAGGATAGATGAGGATTTTTTTAAGTCTTGTCTAATAGCTTTTAGTTGTTTCATTTTTTAATGAACATTACAAACAAGATATATTTAAAAAATCTTTGATGTGTTTCTAAAGAAAGAAAATGAGGCATTTCATACAAGATTAAGTCTGACTGCAGGAAATGATCTGGAAATTCCCAGCGTTAAATTTGACCCCTGAAATCATCCTGGCCTTTGATATCCAGCACCTCTTTAAATCTTCTTGTCTCCTTTTGTGCACATGCACTATTTTGGTCTTTAAAATGCAACCCCTATATCCTCCTCCAAAAATAAGGTTTCTAAGGAAGGAGAGTTATCTGCAGTTATGTGGAAAATGAGAGGATAGGACTATGAATACTCCGGTCTGTAATGAAATCTGGAGGGCAAAAATACAACCTGTGAAACTGAACTAGCTAAAGACTGACTCCATAAAAAATGTAATATGCTCTCACCTGTGAACAACTATTTTGGAAAGGTCATTGCGTAGTTCATTAAAACTGTATTTACTACTAGCAGGACTTAAGAAGGCAGATCAGAATATAAGGCAACAGCCTATGAATGAATAAACCTTTAAAGAAATACTTGGAAAGTGTTTTGGTCTGTTTCATACAATATATCTGATCATTATGCAGAAATTTACCATTTTCTCTTACACTAGGAATTATTTACTTTAAACCATTTCTCTTCTAATTTCTATCTGTAATTATAAAAAGGGCCTCTCTGTACCTCTCTGTTATTTTGGTTTCATCGATATGCAGATTTTTTCACTTAAAAATATTTACTTCCCCCTCCAAATAATGTCCTTCAGGATGCATTTGTTCGATCAAGAGACTTTATGCAACACTGCGGTCTACACTTAATCAATGTTCAGTGGCTTATTAGATCCAAAAAGGATGACTTCAGAACTACTGGAAGCAGCGCGCTTCAGTGAAATAGTTTCATTGTGGCAGAGGTGGAGACTAACGAGCGGCTTCTGGTTTCAGTATTAATTTACATACATTTTATTATAGGAGACCAGTTCTTTATTCGTGGCCTCTGTTTTGAGTAGAGTGAAATTTGGAGGGAAGAAAACCCAAGGCTCCAGGTGCCATCTAGTGGCAATGCTCAGGTGGTCTTGCTAAATTCAATTCTTTGCTTAGCCAAGACACTGCTAGCGATGCATTCAGTTCAAAACGTTACCTATAGTTTCTCCTTACTATTACCATTTGCTTTAAAAACGTATCACTTTAACTTGGAGGTGATAAAATTCTATACCTGAGCTAAAGGAAGAAATCAGATCGGTCTCTGAACTTGTCCGAGATTTATTGATTTAATTAGAAATGTTACCCCTACAGCCAACAGCCTCGTCGCTGTGTGGAAGAACGCTTAATTTCTGTGAGCATGGAGTGGACTTACTGCTAACACTTGGTATAATTTTAAGTATTTTAAGACTTCCTTTTATGTAACTGGCGTTACTGCCTTGAGAAACCAAGATCCTGGGAAAATAAATTATTCTTTAAATTTCTAAATTTCTAATCTTCATGGATGGGCACATTTCTTGTCTCCGCTTTAAATCTCTCACAAAATTCCAATAAGGTATTGTTTTTAAAAACATACATTATTCCTTTTTTTTTCTTTAGAGAAATCCAAGACCAGTAACTCATCAATTCCAACAAAATTTAGATTATTACAAAGCACGTGGAGCAGACTTGATGAACAAAACTCGGTAAGCTATTTCTCAATACATGTTCACTGAACTAACACCTTACATAAACAAAATGTTTCAGACGTCACTTTTATCCCAAACAGCAGTATTAGAAGCACATGTGTTTATTTCATGACATTTATTTTGAATCTTTACTTTGCCTATTGTTACGTGAAAAATGAAAGTTTTACGGATAGTGTTGCAGACAGCTCGCTGACGTTTTTTTAAGGCTAAGGGCATTCGTACGCAGTGACATGTACACTAAAAGCACCGGGTAAAACATTGCCAATGTGAGTTCTGTAGCTGAACTGCTTCCGATAACGCAATTCTGATAAATGCAATCTGGAGTATCCACGTACCAGAAGCTGTGTAAGTTAAATTGAATTAACTTAAATCCAGTTTGAAGTGGTTTTTACTAAACCTATTTGCATCATTCCTCCCTTGTTTTAGAAACAGTTTGTACCAATACTGCTTGAATTCCGTGTCAAGACCATTTTATCTGGTGGTCACGAGCATAGAGGTGCCCGTGCCCCAAGTTGGTGACCACAGTGTGGGTGCTGGTTGCTGGTGGGTGGTGGCTGCTGGTGGCTGCGGGGCAAGCCAGCACCAGACACAAAGCTTTCCTTCAGTTTGTGCTGTCACAGGCCGTTCCTTGGATGGCACGTGGCCCCAGCCATATCATAGGAACTTACTGGCTTTTAGACCTTTGCACCTCTGTCAAATTCTGTTTAAATCAGTTACATTAAAAGGTAGCTAAAATTAAAATGGAGTGGATTAAAAAGCTCTTAAAAATGGAGAAAGGAGCAGAAATTAAAGCTGAGTAGAGTGACTGCAAAAGCATATTTTTTTTCTTTTTTTAAACCAGGCTTTAAAGATGGGCAAGGGTGTCAAAAAATACTGTGTTCTATTGCATTTTCTTAATGTTTTTACTTATTTATTATTTTTTAAAATGGTCTCAAGAGTTGCCTGAACTTGAAAAATAAATTATTTGAAAATTCCAAAAGAAACATTTTAAGGATTTGGGAAAAAAAAAAATCATAAAGTCCAAAGAAGAATGACACCTGTTGGAAACCTGAATTCTAAGGAAACAAATGTCCATTAAATCTATGTAGAAATAGAAATTCATTGCACACATATATAGAGGATACACACCAAAGGAGAGGGGAAATTGTTTAGAATAGTTCAGATTGAGGAATAACTGGGATAAATATATCTCAACACAGGAACATTTAGAGTAGGTCAAATGTGGTAAATCTGTTCAAGATTGAACTAAAGAGAGAACTGCAAGGTGTAATATTAGGAAATTTTCTGCAGTGAGCAGAGAGATGGATTAGATCAGCTACCAGGTCTTTTTCATCTTTAATTCCACAGGCTCAATGATATATTTAGAATATCTTGGCAAATCTCGAATATATATTGCTTATTTTATCACGTATAAAACTTTTTAATCCATCATATTCATATATTTGCCTCTCAACTCTCATAATGGCTACTTACTGAAGAAAGAAATGCCTTTGAATAAGGCTTGCTTAAAACAAAACATTTTCATCTTAGCAGAAAACTGCAGAGGTTGAATCATCTTCCTACTGCTAGTTTAAAAATATACCATTCACAGTCAAGGTCAATGATGCTTATTGTGATGAAACAAAATTGTTTGCCTCATAGATGAAATTCACGTCTCCTTGATACTCATATTTTTAAACTGATGCTTTACTTTTAAATGCATCTGCTGATAACTCTACAACATAATCAATCAGCATTTTTCTTCTAATTGTTGTGCGTGTCTGGTACATTTAGATGGCTAAAATGTAGACATTGATCCGTGTTTAATGGCTGTAATCATCCTTCACATTAATATATCAGACATTTAAATGGTAAGAAATAGATACATTGTTCTCATTTTCCTGGACTTCAGCTCAGTTTTAACGTACCTCCTCCAGAGATCTAGCACCTCACTATTGTTTGTTTTCTGAAGCTGTCACTCAGAGAGATTGCACGATGAATTTTACCTCAGAATACTTTTATTAAGACCACCTCTGGACAAGAAATTTAGATAGCATCGTTATTTATTTTTCATGTATGTATACGTGTTCTGAGCTGATCATTAGCAGTGTCAGCTCACAGCAGAGCCAAATCACACGCAGGTATTAAGAGCTACAATAACTATCGTTTCTAGTTCTCAAATAATTACAAAACATTATTGCACATTATTATTGAAAGCATCTTTTAAAATCGTAATTCGGACATAATGGCTTAGAGAACATTTTTGGTGTTTGTTGTTCCTATAAAGTGAAGTTTCTCAAAAAGTCTCTTTGGAACCATCTGAAAAATGCAAATAAACTAACTTCCCCCGTTTACATGTACGTCAAAGCTGCAAATTAAACAGTGTAGAAGGAAAACCGATACTTTTTATTAAGCAAAATATAGCTGGAAAAAAGAAACAAGAAAGAAACAAGCTGGTGGACACAAATACACAAGCCTCTGTATAAGCTTTGTCTCCTCCATCTGTGGACCATCATGGTTCCAATGATGCAGTTAGCTCAAAGCGTCCAGTGGCTTTGTTGCTCAGGTAGTCTTCCAGAGAAAAATATTTACTTCCAGTAAATACCATTTTTTGTGCAAAGTCAAGGGTTTTTTTACTCATTGTCAAGGCTCTAAACCTAGAGACAACACAAACCTAGGGTTCAATGTGCAAGCCATTTTCTTCTTTCTAAGGTGATGTTTCGAGTGAGTGATATATATATACCACCCCAGTCTTGGGGGTTAGTTTCAGTGGACTGGGGGGAAAAAATATGCCAAATATACTAAAGTTTGGATTCTGAATCTCAGCCAAGTTATTAGTGGTGTGACCCCCAGAATCAGTGGTGTAATTAGATTCATTGCAAACTGTTGATACGATTGATATGTGCTAAGCCAGCATTTGGCATTTCTTCTTCCACCTTCAAAGGTACAATCTTTGTTTTCTTTCTGGAATGGAGAAGACATTAAACAAAAGGCCCTGTGCTGACTGTTCTGATGCCACATCAGAATGTATGTGATGGAATAGAAAAAAATCCCTTTTTTTTTCCTTAAGTGTCTGCAATACCTTGGGGAACTGATTAATAACTGAACCTGCTAAGTAGTAGCAGAGTAAAATTTAATAGTAATAAACATTTTATCATGTCCTCTTCTTTAAAATCATTGGGACCTATTCAGTTTGCCTTTGAAACCATTTGAAACACATCCAAAGACAAATAGGAAATAATATGAGAAGCAGAATCAAAATTTCTTTTCCAGGTGCCTGCGCAAGTTACAAGTCACTCATATTAATTCATTTGTGGTTTATTTTTAGTTAAACTTCCCCAAAACATTGCAAAAGTATTTTTTCTCCAGTGCAATGATTGTATCATTTTTAATTACATGTATTTCTTCAAATTTTTTAAAGACAGCTGTTTATGTCACTGAAGTACAGATCAGTAAAATAAAACCTCAGGAGCGGAAAGGTCTCTCTGTGATATATTTCTGTGAAGGGTATTTCAAGCATTAATTATATAAAACAGGAAAATATTGCATGAACAAATAGGAATGGCTTTGCTGATCCCTGGGTTATGTGAACACTCCTACTGGGAATTAGAAGCTGCTTTGCCTCTTTATTTTAGACAGATTAAATGGTTCAACAATTTCCTCATTCTTAATGTTGCATATAACTGAAGTGAATTAAATAGCCACTGTAGTTAAAAATAAAAAGTAATAATGATAAGGATCATAATCCAGTATGTGTGTTATATCCTGAAGCCAGTCTTCAGCCAAAATCACATTAGAAATCAGGATTCCCGTTTATAACTGCTTGACTTGAAATGGCTGGGCTGAGCAGAAGGTGAAGTAAGAGCAAGAGACATCTAGCTCTGCCAACCTAAAAATACAGTCTGGTGTTAGTTTTGCTTGTTGAAAGAAATGTTTGGGTCTGAGTTATTTTAAACATTTAAGAGAATTCAAGCTAGCAGAGGTGAATATTAAAGCAGTCTTTGAATAGGAAGTGCAAAAAGTCAGTTTTATATAGTTCTCGATGCTTTAGAGCCTGGCTTGCTCTTTGTCACTCTTTCATTTTTTTCATTTAAAAAGGCAAATTAAGAAAATTGGTGCAAACTTTCTTTGTTTGGGCTTAGTCTGCATTTTTCAGGAAGAAAGGGTCAAAACAATTTGTCCGCTACCGGTTGGGAAAAACTCGGGCTGCACGCAGGCCCCGTGGTTGCTGTGTGTATTCCAGTGCGACTGTAGTAAAACACCTTCTTTGTGATGTTCAAATCTTGGAGTTTTTTCCCCCCATTTTTGGAGTAATGCATGCATTGCTGTGCCCATCCAAACCGCTGGCAAGGATGTGATGACTTCTCCTCTTTTTTTTCAGTGCCAGTGCTAAGGCTGCCCCGCTGAACATTAACAAAGTCTCTAACAGCTTACTGAATTTTGGCCGAAAGCTCATTGCTCCGGCTATGGCTTCAGGCGGGGCTGTGGGTGCTCCTGCCGGCGGGAGCAGCTTTCCTCCCCCTGCGATGACGACCAGAAGCACAGTGGAAGCCCCCCAGCACCACCACCACCAGCACCACCACCAGCACCACCACCAGGCACAGCAGCAGAGGATGATGAAGTCGGAAAGCATGCCGGTTCAGCTGGGCAAAGGTAAAGGTGAAACGCCTGGCAGTGCTGCAACAGAGGGAAGCTTTCTCGTACCGAAGGAAGTCCTTTTATTGATTCTATATCGATGGGTACATAGTTGGAGGAAACAGAAAAACCAGAATTTTGTTAAGCAGGACGTCTATGCTAAGTACAACAGCACCTTTGCAATGTAATACGGAATTAGACGTTGTCTCAAGAATATACAAATAGTATAGGAAGGTTTGAACCTTTAAAAAGTTATTAACCAGAAATTACATCAGACATACCAACAGAGTACGCCCTTACCATAAATGTTAGCCAAACATGCAGTCTTTAAATGCAACATATTTTTAACTGGAAGACTAATTTCATATAGGTTTCTTCAGGTTATTGGCACAAATCCCATGCATAACAATATTAGCTAAATACAAGTGAAGGAAGTTAGATCAATTACAGAGCAATTCTTAATAAACAATATCTTATTCCCTTCAGAATGTGGAGCTTATTTGAGAAGTTATTTGAACAATACCATGTATTCACCTTTTAATAATTTGTGATGGCCCTCTGCACTTTCTCTGCATAGTAAATACTACTTATTTTTCTTGAGCCTTTTTTTAATATTTCTTGAGGACAGTTTATTCAAACAGCAAAGTCACAAACTCAGCTTCCGTAGTTGTTTCCTATGCTCTGCCACACTCAACGCGTGTTACTGATTTTCATCTTCGGCCAACCTACGGCAGTATGTTCTTTGCAAGGAGTATATAGACTGATACGGTATCTGCTGCTTCTAGCAACGGATGCTAAGTAACAGTTTTAAGTTTAAGGGCTGGTGCTGGTTGCCCTGAGCCATTATATAGGATTGCATCATATTTTTCACCAGATTTGAAAGTGTAAGAGAAGGGAAATAATACTTTGTAGCTGAAGTTGGTGTTCTTTCTCTTTCCTGTGGCAGCCATATGGTCCAAAGTTAGTCTTGTCATGATGCATCGCATCCCCAGCAGACACTGAGGGAGCAGGATTGAAAGGTGCAACCATTCTCTTGAAGCAGAGAGATGCAGGCACTTCTGTAAGGGCCGCTGCAGCTGCTTGGCAAAATCCAGATACCCAGCTTCTCTGAGAATAGTAGAATAATCTCAGAAATTGCTCCAGAAAGAATTTTACAGTGCGAACGTGAAACTGAAACACAGTGAATCCTTGACGCAAATCCTGTTCACAGCAATGGAAGTAAAATTAGGCGTGGAACAAAATTATTTCCACAATTTTGGAGAGGCTCTTCTGTTTGCTTTTTTAAAAAGTTTTCCATAGTTCTCTTACCACATTTTTCTTTTTTTTACCTTTTGGGTTGAAAAGTGGTCCTAAGGTGGTTACTTTCTTTCCCTGCTTAATATAAAAAAAGTGAACAATTTTAAGCAAGTTCTACAGGTGTAATCAATTGTAGCTTAATCTTGATCTAGCTGGTCAAGGACGACCCTGTTTACACTTGTATGTACCAACAAACACGTTGCATCATCTAGAAATGCACCTGACGCTTTCCGTACAAGAATCAGAACAAAAAATTGTTTCAGTCATTGTCATGTACTTGCTGTGCACATATTTCTGTATCAACATCATATTTCTGTATCAACAGCAATATGGAGATTTGGTAAAGTTATCAAGAAATTATGCAAATTAATGATGTAGGGCACAAAGCATTTTCATGGTAAGAGGAAATTAAACATACTGCAACACTTTGGTACCTGCAGCGTCATCTCACTCTATTCTGTCTATCCATATTTGGTACGACTCTTGCAGAAGTAATTTAAAGGCAACAAAATGCAAATATACTTTTCTTTAATCAGTTGAGATTACAATGAGTTTTGTTTTACATATTGGTGCCTTGCTTGTTGTTCCAGACCTGTACGGTTGTCAGTATGTTGCCTGTGGTTGGATAGAAATTTTAAATGATGGCAGCTAACCATGTTTGCAAGTGCCGTAATTTATTTTTTTAAAGAGAAACTCAAAATATAAAGTCTTTTAGAGGAAATATAAAGTCTTTTAGAGGCTGCGCAGTGAATTCTCTCTGAAGTAAGTTTAAATGTAGGAATAGCTTAGCAAAAAAACCAAAATCCCTATTTGGAATGACAGTGTAGTGGAGACAGGCTAAAAAGACTCTTTTGAAGAATGATGCAGATACCTTTGTAAACAACTCAGCACCATCCCCATCACACCTTAAAAATGAGAATAAGACTTTTCAGTTCTGTGAGGACAGTATCACCACCTCAAGAAAGTTCTGTACAGCATCTCCAGTGAATGAGGGCACTCCCTGCAACTCTGACAAGTTGCAGGTACTTCTACCCCACGCATTAACATTTAGGATTTAGAATATATCTGTACCCTGAGAAGCTCTCATTCCACTCCTGTTTGTACTGAACTTTTTACGTACCTTTTTACCTTCTGCACTGGCTTTTTTCAAATTCTGGATTCTGCTCTAGCATTTGAGTATATCTAAAAGCTATTTGACGTGGTTTGTAGCTGTAAGGCTTCCAAGTTACTGACTAGCTGTCACTAATTGTCTTACGTTCCTGTTCTTCACTGTGTTTTCAGCTCTTCTGAACCTCCTGGAGCTTGGTTATTTAGCTGAGGTAGGCAGAGGCACTGATTTAGGATTTAAATTGATAGACATTTGTACTTCCAGTTGATCTAACACTCACAGATGCTCAGCTGGACAGTATAACAGACCAAAGTGCCGTAAAAATGACAGACATCAAGTCATAAAAGAAATCATCCATTTTTCTCATATTGTATTAGTCCTTTCAGATTTTGAATGCTCAAGTAGTGCTGATAATTTAAATTAATATGTAGAGGGTTATAAGTTTGCAGAGATTAAATTAATTGCCTGATCTACTTTTTATTAAGTGTGAAGAAGTCCTTGGTAACAAAATATCTTGCAGGACTGGCAAAATAATCCTATCCCAGCTTTAACAGCTCTGTTTAGACAGAGTTTTACCACTCACAAGCCCGCAGCAGTGCCAGGCGT